GCGCTCCTGCACACCTGCTCCTGGGCACCCGGCGCCCCGACTACACAGCAAGCGGCCTCATTGCACCGGCCTCAGCTTCTGCATCCAGGCAGCTCCCGGGCGGGCAGGCGCATCCTCTCCTGCAGCCCGAGGCACAGTGATCCCTGCTCACCTTCCCTGCCTGGGAGGCACGCGGGTGGGCGGCGGGCAAGGAGCGAGAGGCGAGCGGGGACCCCTCCCCTGCCTCTACACTCACATACTTTCACCAGACATTCATTCAGAGTTTAAACAATCCATTCAATTCCTAACAACTTCCCAACTCCTGAGGAAGCTCTAAAGCCTTCCCCAATCTCCTTGGAATGATCAATCACAATACCCAAAGGAGCAGTCTGAGTCCGTCCCATAACATCCGTCCAGTAAGTCCACAGAAAACAGAAAAACACAGACACAGACAAACAGAGGGCCCCAAAGAACAGCCTTCCAACTCCATGGAAGCAACCAGACGATGGCCTTATGCCAAACCGGCGGGAGCGACCCGCCTCGTCTCAAATCCGCAAGGGGAAACCACATCCCTTGTGAGGGGCATACTCATCCCTCCTGGGGAGCAGAATGTCTTCTAACTCTCCCCCGCCTGTGGTCTTTCACGGCGCGTCCGCCTAGACCCCTCAGGCACTTACAGATTCCAGAAATGAGCTCACACAGAACAGAACACACAACACACAGACACTTACCGCGGTCAGTCAGACTCTCCGAACTGGGGGGTCCCTGGATGGTGTTGGGAATCCTGGATGAGCCCCCAAATGTTATGCCCAGATTTCAGGATCCCCAAGAACCCACATAAGGGAGCCAGTCCGATGCAAAAGCATAAGAGTCTTTATTCGAGCTAGCTCGGCTCCCCCACCTTGCCGACGCAGCGACAGGAAGCAGAGAGAGCTTTAGTTGTATTTTTGAAGTGGTTGTGCGAGGCAGCAATCTCCGGTGTTTACCTATGCGGCCATCTTGGTTTCTCTCCTCCGTATCTCTTCTTATGAGGACACCAGTCCTATTGGATTAGAGCCCTACCCTTATGACCTCATCTAACCTTAACTACCTCTTTGAAGGCCCTGTTTCCAAATACAGTCCCATTGGGGGATAGGACTTTAACATATGAATGGGGAGGGAGACACAATTCTGTCTTTAACAACTGTCAATCCCTGATCTGCTTTGAAGTGGGACCCAAGCAACTCTTTCCTCTGAACAGTCTTCCATGTTGAAACCAGAAAGCTTACTTAAAAGCCAACCTATTAGTGTCAAATTCCCAGTATTAAGTCCTATAATGGTGCCCTCAGCTTTCAATACAGTTTCAGATTGCTTAAATTAACCCATAAGCATCTATGTGGCATTGACATCTTGCTCAACTCTCTGGCCTTAAATCCTGCTATGTACCAGCCACCCACCACACACACTGCCTTTTCTCCCTCCTCTTCCCCCCACCTCCCCCCCCACACACACTGACTTTCTTCTTTATGGAAGTGATTACCACTTTCCAATTTCAGGTTTTGTTCTGTGGGTTTTCATCTGCTCTTCTGTCTATTGCATTCTTAAAGTTGATTTGAGAAAGAGAGAGAAGGAGAGGAAGAGAGAGAAACATCAATTTATTGTTCCACTTACTTATGCATTCATTGATTGATTCTTTTTTTTTAATATATTTTTATTGATTTTTTACAGAGAGGAAGGGAGAGAGATAGAGAGTTAGAAACATCGATGAGAGAGAAACATCGATCAACCACCTCCTGCACATATGTGGAATGTGCCCGAAACCCAGGTACATGCCCTTGACTGGAATCGAACCTGGGACCTTTCAGTCCGCAGGCCGACGCTCTATCCACTGAGCCAAACCGGTTTCGGCTTGGTTGATTCTTTATGTGCCCTGATGGGAGATCAAACCTGCAACCTTGGCATATCAGGACAACACTCTAACTGAGCTACCCATCCAGGACTACCTGTTCTATTCTTTATACAGTTGAATCTTATTGCTATTCCAAACTTGGCTCGAGTGTTTCTTCTTCTAGAAGCCCCCTTGGGCGAATCCTCTCCTTCACAACACCTACCCTGTGTTCACAATCATGCCTCAGACTGTGTCACTTGACATGTCTGTACCCATCTGAACCAGCACCTCTTTTATAGCAGGGACTGTGTCCTACTTCATCCAGTTGTATTCCTGTGCTTCACACAGTGTCTGTAATGAGACAGAGGAAGGGACTATGGAGCTAATTTGAGCACTGATGTGAATGAGATACTCTCCATTCCATCTCCAGGCAAGTAGCTCTGTGTAGGGCTGTTGTGGATCCCTGCCTGTGCAGATGATCGAGGGGGCATCTTTTCTCATTGATTTGCTCACCTATCACTAGCTGGCCCTGGCTGCTGAGCTGTCTTGCTAATGGTCATGACCCAACCTCACTTTTTTTTTCTTTAGTACATTTATATATTGTAATATGCTTGCCACTGTACCAATATTTATCATATTATATAATTGTATTATATTATCTATATTTATAATGTGTTGCGATACTATGCTATACTGATCTCTATGGCTTATTTACATTCGTTGTAAGTTTTGTACTCTTAAACATTGATCTTATCCCCCCAACACCCATTCCTGGGTAACCATTATACTCTGTTTTTTTTATAAGTTTGACTTTTTTAGATTCCACATATGTGATATCATACAGTACTTGTCTTTCCCTGTCTGCTTTATCTCATTTAGAATAATGTGCTCAAGGTCCATCTATATTGTAAATAACAGGATATCTTCCTTTCTCGTGGCTAAACAATATCCCAGTGTGTACATATGTGCCAGATCATTTTTATCCATACATCTGTTGATGAGCATTTAGGTTGTTTCCATATCTTGGCTATTGTGAATAATGCTGCAATAAAGTTGGAAGTGCATATATCTCTTAAAAATCTTGTTTTCATTTCTTTTGGATATATACCCCGAAGTAGAATTGCTGGATTGTAATGGTAGGTCTACTTTTTGTTCTTTTTCTTTTTTCTAATGGTAGGTGTACTTTTAATTTTTTTAGGAACCTCCATATTTTTTTCATCGTGGCTAGACCAACTTACATTCCCACCAACAGTATACAAGGGTTCCCTTTTCACCACATCTTCACCAGCACCTTTTGTTTCTTGTCTTCTTGATGAAAGCCATTCTAACAGGTATGAGGTAGCTATATCATGTGGTTTTGCTTTGCATTTCCCTGATGATTAGTGATGCTGAGTATCTTTTCATGTGCCTTTTTGCCATTTTGATGTCCTCTTTGGAAAAACGTCTATTTAGTTTCTGTACATTTTTAAATTGAGTTTGTTTGGTTTTTGTTATTCAGTTGTATGAGCTCTTTATATATTTTGCATGTTAACCCCTTATCTGGTATATGGTTTGCAAATATCTTCTCCTATTCTGTAGGTTGCCTTTTTATTTTGTTAATTGTTTCTTTTGCTGTGTAGAAACTTTTGAGTTTATAGCCCCATTTGTTGATTTTTTGCTTTTGTTGTTTGTGCTTTTAGTGCCATGTCCAAAAAATCATTGCCAAGACCAATGTTTCCCCTACATTTTATTCTCGGAGTTTTGTGGTATTAAGTCTCACGTTTAAGTCTTTGGTCCATTTTACGTTAAAGTTTGTGAGTGGTGTGATATAGGGATCCAATTTTATTATTCTGCATGTGTTTCTCTAGTGTTCTCAGCACTATTTGTTGAAGAAACTATCCTTTTCTCATTGGGTGTTTCTTGGCTTCTTTGTCAAATATTCGTTAACTGTATATGCCAGGATTTAATTCTGGGCTATTCAGTTTCATCAGCCTGTGGGTCTATTTTTGTGCCAATACCATACTGTTTTTATTACTATGGTTTTCTAGTATAGTTTGAAATCAGAAAGTATGATACCTCTGGCTTTGTTTTTTTGTTTTTTGTTTGTTTGTTTGTTTTCAGGATTGCTTTGATTATGTGGTCTCTAGTGGTTCCACACAAATTTTAAGATCGTTTCTATTTCTGTGAAGAATGTCTTTAGTATTTTGATGGAGATTGTGTTGAATCATGGCTTTGGATAGTATAAACATTTTAACAATATTAATTCTAACAATTCATAAACACAGAATGTCTCTGCATTCATTTGTGTCTTCTTTGATTTCTTTCATCAAAAGTTTTGTAGTTTTCATTGTTTAGATTTTTCACTTAGGAAAAAATTTAAGTGTTTCATTGTTTCTGTTACTATTGTGAATGGGATAGTTTTTTCTTTCTTTTTCAGATTAGTATAAAGGAATGCAGCTGATTTCTGTATGTTGATTTTGTATCCTGCAACTTTACTGAAATCATTGATTGGATTCAACAGCTTTTTTCACTGACTCTTTTGGATTTTCTATATATAAAATTATATCTTCAGGCGCACTTGCTGATCCAGTGGCTACCAGGCGTGGAACCAGGCACCCATGGCGATGGGAAATCCAGTTATCAAAATTGGCTCCAGAAAAGAGAACCTAATATCCATTAACAATGGAAAAATTTGAGAACATTACCAAAAAGCCACCCTTCCTCAAAACACCAGGCCCAGATGGTGTTACAAGTTTTAAAAATCCTGCATGAAGAAGATAGATCTTAAGCCACATGATGGATTCAGAAGCTTGTAACAAGAGGTCGCCAATCATAACATCTTCAAACCAAGACATATCACCTCATATTACAGATGTTGGTGGAATAAAACATTATTTGTGTGGCTGCGGTGCAGCTTTCAGCACTGTAGCGATCACATTTCCCATTCAGAAGGTGCTCTTTCGGCAACAGCTGTATGGAATCAAAATCAAGGATGCGGTGCTTCAGTTGAGGAGGGATGGATTTCAAAACTTGTATCGTGGAAGTCTTCCCCCATTGATGCAGAAGACAACCTCACTGGCACTTATGTTTGGTCTGTACGGGGATTTATCTTACTTTCTCCGTAAGCATATCCATTCCCCAGATGTTGCAACCCGTAGCATGGCAGCATTACTTGCAGGGGCAACAGAAGCAGTTTTCACTCCATTGGAAAGAGTTCAGACACTGCTTCAAGACCACAAGCATCATGATAAATTTACAAACACTTACCAGGCTTTCAAGGCACTGAAATGCCATGGAATTGGAGAGTATTATCGAGGCCTCATACCTGTTCTTTTCCGTAATGGGTTCAGCAATGTCCTGTTTTTTGGCCTCCGGGGTCCCATTAAGGAGCACCTGCCTACTGCAACAACGTACAGCACGCATTTGGTCAATGATTTCATCTGTGGAGGTCTCTTGGGTGCCATGTTGGGAATCTTATCTTTTCCCATTAATGTTGTAAAAGCTCGCATGCAGTCTCAGATTGGTGGGGAATTTCAGTCTTTTCCCAAGGTTTTCAAAATAATCTGGTTAGAACGAGACAGGAAACTGACAAATCTTTTCAGAGGTGCCCATCTAAATTACCACCGGTCCCTCATCTCTTGGGGCATAATCAATGCAACTTATGAATTCCTGTTAAAGGTTATATGAAAGAAACAATCAACTAAGTTCCGCTTACCAATTGACTAGATCTTCAAAGAAGAATGTAGTTTGGCCTCATTCCCAATTGGCCAAATACAAATTGGTGTAAATTCAGGCCACAATGAATTATGGCAAAGCTGTTTCCCTTAAGCACCAACAAATTCAGAATAAAAGGTTTTAATAGGAAAATTTAAGGGTTTGGGGTTTTTTTGTTTGTTTTTTAAAATATGTTTCTATTGATTTTAGAGAGAGGACGGGAGAGAGAAACCTCAACGATGAGTGAGAATCATCAATTGGCTGCCTCCCGAATATCCACTATAGGGATCAAGCCCGGTGCCCGGTACCCAAGCATGTGCTGTGACTGGGGATCGAATGGCAATCTCCTGGTTCCAGGGTCGATGCTCAACCACTGAACCACACCGGCCAGGCTAATTTATTTAGTTTTGTGCTCATTGTTACCTGAGAACTTTGGGCTAATTGCTTGGTTAATAGCTGTCTATCTCATGGATGGCTTTTGATGAGGAAACTAATAGCCAAGATGGTCTTTTTTCCCCAAAGTCTTTAAATCTTCTGTATTAAAACATAAGTGGCCATGACCAGCCAGAGAAAAGGCTCCTAGGGCCCTTTGAATTCGGCAGGCTTACTTTTATTACTCCATTTCTTGCTTCTCTCCTCTTAGGAGGAGTTGCAAAGTGTAGTCTTTGCTAAACTGAAGCATATACACAAGGAGCAGGACTGAGAAGAAAGCTTAATGGGCGGAGGCTTTTCATGATAAATTGCTTGTATTAGTTTTGAAATGAAGCACCTGTTGGGATAGTCATTATCCACACTGCTTCTATTTAGGCATGGTAGACTCCAGCAGCTAATGAGAGCTCCCATTTGCTTTCTAGATTTGAAAGTTTTCTGTTTAATTCTGAATGTGACCTTAAACCTGTCCAAAATATCCTTGTGTTAATTTCACTTATTTCATTGCCAAAAGGCGGGGAGACTTAAATTTTGTCATAGGCATTTTATCTTATTAAGTTTCATGTTAATTATGTAAAGATCAAACTCTCTTTAGCTCAATTTCTTTGAATTATTGTTGCCAACTTAGCAAAAAGCTTTGGGGGGTTTGTCCCCTTTGGGTACTAGTTTATCTTACTCAAGTATTCTGTTCTTTTGAAACTCCTTTTAAAAAAATACTTCCATAAAATTTTATTTTTAAAGTCTGTTTAATAGGATTCCAGATTTTTATTTCTTTCTGGTTTCTCAGTGTTTGGAGGAGAGGGGAAACTCAGGAAAGCTTTCACCCCACAGTGTTAGCTATCTTTTTTATTTATTTATTGGTTTAGTTTTGGAAATAGAGACTTCTATTAGGATTTTTACGTTTGGGGAACCCGATTTTACCATTTTATCATTAAAAAAGTTTGAGAGGATAAGATCTAAATAAAGATATTTGAAGAGTTAATTTTAAAATTCTAGAAGTTGGCAATAGCTGGATATTACCAACAAAAACGTATTTGTCAAAGGAATCAGATTTTAAAATGTATTTTCCTAATAAATAAGGCAAAATGATTCATACAACACTTGAATGATTAGTAAAACATGAAACATCCTAGAAAAGTGGCTTATTTTTAAAAAACCTACATCTGTAAATATGTAGTTAAGATTGCTTTCCAGCACCTGACATGGCAAAGTAGTTAGGTTTCTTATTACAATTTTTTAAGCAGTCTGGGTAATTGCATATGAAAATGTGCACATAATGACCAAAATAAAATCAGGGTCTCAATTGGTAGTTTATTCAGTTTCTGGGCAGATAGTCCAAAACAGATGTTTATCTCTACATGCAGTATGGCTGGTCAAATAAAATGAACAACCTTCTGCCAACCAAAAGAATTAGGAAGCATAATCAAGCATTTGTTAGTTAGGCAATAATCAAGCTCAGGAGATTTACAACAGCTCTGTTTGACAATGTTGTGCTAAAAATGGCAGTTTACTTTAGCAACCAAGGTGCAGATGTAAGGATTTCAGAAAGCTGTCACCAAATAAACATAACATCCTTTGGCCTATCAAATAGAGTCAAGAGTGAGGATTGGAAGCGGTTCTTTCAGAAATAAATGACATTGGTACCTGACCCCCTCACTGTGTGTGTGCCCCTGAATATTTCCTGTCTAGGTGCTCAGCATGTGGCAGGTGTGTTAGCCTGGGGCCATGCTCTGGCCCTGGGAGTGGACTCCATGGGCCTTTGGTTTCGCAGGGCTTGCTTTTGTCTTTACACTCCATGCAGGTGGTAGAAACCTAATTTCTAAAGCACTTTGTAGAATAAAAGTGAAGTGAGAATGTGAAGGAGGATGCTTTGGTTTCTGCTGCCTCAATCTTCAGCAAATGAAAATTTGACTTCTTTTCCAATGTAGATGACTTTTCTTTTTCTCACCTAGATGTTTTAGCTAGGACTTCCAGTACTATATTGAATAGGGATGGTGAGAGTAGGCATCCTTGTTTCTGATCTAAAGGGAAAAGTCTTCAATTTTTCTCCATTGGGTAAAATGTTAGCTGTGGGTTTGTTGTATATGGCCTTTATTATGTTGAGATATGTTCCTTCTATACCCAATATGTTAAAGATTGTTTTATTTAATCATGAAAGGATGTTGTATTTGTCAAATGCTTTTTCTACATCTATTGAGATAATCATGTGATTTTTATCTTTCATTTTATTGATCTAAAGTATCACATTAGTTGAGTTGCATATGTTGAACCAGCCTTGCATCCAGGGGATAAATCCCACTTTGTCATTTTGTATAATCCTTTTAATGTGTTCTTAAATTTGGTTTGCTAATATTTTGTTCAGAATTTTTATATCTATATTCATCAGGGTAATTTGTCTATAGGTTTCTTTTTTGTGTGGTATCCTTATTTTGTTTTGGTATTAAGGTAATGGTGGGTTTGCAGAATGAGTTTGAAAGTGTTCATCCTCCTTGATATTTTGGAAGAGTTTGAAAAAGATTAATTCTTCTTTGAATGTTTGGAAGAATTCACTAGTAAAAGCCTTTTAGTCCTGGGGTTTTTTATTATTATTATTACTGATTCAGTCTCATTACTAGTTATTAGTCTGCTCAGACTTTCTATTTCTTCTTGATTCAGTCTTGGTAGGTTGTGTGTTTCTAGAAATGTGTTATTTCTTCTTGATTATGTAATTTGTTGGAATATAATAGTTCATAATAGTCTCTTATGCTCCTATGACTTTCTGTACTTTCAGTTGTAATGTCTTCTCTTTTAATTTTATTTGAGTCTTCTATTTTTTTTCTTAGCTAAAGGTTTATCCATTTTATCTTTGAAAGAAGCAGCTCTTACTTTTGTTGATACTGTCCATTGTTTTTCTGGTCTCTTTCATTTATTTCTGTTCTGATCTTTATTTCCTTCTTTCTGCTAACTTTGTTCTTTTTGTTCTTTTTTTATTTTTCAATTACAGTTTATGTACAATTATTAGTTTCAGATGTATAACCCAGTGATTAGACATTTATATAACTTATGAAGTGATCGCCCCAATAAATGTAGTACACATCTGATACCATACATAGTTATTATAATATTATTGACTATGTTCCCTATGATGTACTTTATATTCCCCTTACTATTCTATAACTAGCAATTTGTACTTCTTAATCTCTTCACTTTTCACACAACCCCCAACCCTTCTCCCATCTGACAACCATCAGAATATTCTCTATCAATGAATTGGTTTTTGTTGTTTTTCTTTTTAATTTTTAAAAATGTTTTTATTTATTTTAGAGAGAGAGAAAAAAAAAACACTGATGGGCTGCCTCCTGCATGCTCCCTACCAGAGATTGAGCTTGAAACCTGGGCATGTGCCCTGACTAGGAATTGAACCCACCACCTCTCCATACATGGGACGAGGCTCAATCAATTAAGCCACACCAGCCAGGGCTTGTTTTTGTTTTTTAGATTTCCTCATTTAAGCGAAATCATATGGCCTTTGTCCTTCTGTCTGACTTATTTTCACTCAGCACAATGCCTTCTAAGTTCGTCCATGTTGTTGCAGATGGCAAGATTTCATTCTTTTTTTAGGGCTGAGTCATAGTCCATTGCTATATGCACCACTTCTTTTTTTAAATATATTTTTATTGATTTCAGAGAGGAAGGAAGAGGGAGAGAGAGAGAGAAACATCAATGATGAGAGAGAATCATTGATTGGCTGCCTCCTGCACACCCCACACTTGGGATCAAGTCTGCAACCCAGGCATGTGCTTTGACGGGGAACTGAACCATGACCTCCTGGTTCATAGATTGACACTCAACCACTGAGCCATGCCGGCAGGACTATGCACCACTTCTTTATCCACTCACCTATTGATGGACACTTAGATTGCTTCTATATCTTGGCTATTGTAAATAATGCTGCAATAAACCTATGGATGACAGATATGTATTTATTGCCATTTTATTATTCATATTTTAATTTTTTGCTTCATCTTCAACATGACCTTTTAACATTTCTTTCAAATATTTTTATTTTATTATATTTATTGGGGTGACATTGGTTAATAAGATTGTATGGGTTTCAAGTGTACATTTCTGATATGTGATCTGTATATTGCATTGTGTGCCCACCACCCAAAGTCATCTTCAGGACCATATATTTGGTCCTCTTTACTACTACCCCACCGCTCTTCGCTCTGGCAACCAACCACCATACAGTTGTCTGTGTCTGAATTTCAGATTTATAACATTTCTGTAATACTGGTTTGATGGTGATGAACTCCTTTAGCTTTTCCTTGTCTGGGACGCTATCCTTCAAGTCTAAATTATAGCTTTGCTGGGTAATTTGGTTGTAGGTCCTTCCTTTTCATCACTTTGCATACTTAGTGTGAATCCTTTCTGGCTGGGACCCCTCACTCCTCAGGGAACACCTCCTCAACCAAGATACCCCTCCCAATTTTTCTTTCTTTCTTTTTTTCCCTCCCCCTCCCAATTTTTATCTACCACATGTGGCTGTGGGACTAGCCCCTTCCACATCTCTGCCCTTCCTATCAGTCTGATGTGGTTTCTTCTTTATGTTTTACTTACAGGACTTCTGTTTGGCTACAGTTCAGGTGATTTTAAATGATGGTTGTCCTGTAGCTTAGCTGTAATTTTGATCTAGTTGAGAGAGGTTTCGAGTATCACATTTACCTCTGCCACCATCTTGACTGGAAGCTGGATTTTATTTTTTTTTAATATATTTTATTGATTTTTTTACAGAGAGGGAGGGAGAGGGATAGAGAGTTAGAAACATCAATGAGAGAGAAACATCGATCAGCCGCCTCCTGCACACTCCCCACTGGGGATGTGCCCGCAACCAAGGTACATGCCCTTGACCAGAATCGAACCTGGGACCCTTGAGTCCACAGGCTGACGCTCTATCCACTGAGCCAAACAGGCCAGGGCTGGAAGCTGGGTTTTATTTGTTCTTTTCCTAGTTCCTTGAGGTATAAAGTTGGGTCATTTGAGAACTTTCTAATTTCTTGAAATATATTTATTGCTATAAACTTTCCTGTCAGAACTGCTTTGCTGCATTCCACAAGACTCGATAGGTTGTATTTCCATTTTCAAGATAATTTTTATTTCCCTTTTGATTTCTTCCTTAACACAGTGGTTATTTAGAAGTGTGTTGTTTAGTTTCCACATATTTGTAGATCTTGTTTTCCTCTTGTTGTTGCTTTCTAGTTTCATACCATTGTGGTCAGAAATGATAGCTGATATGATTTTAATCTTCTTAAATTTGCTAAATTTGCTATCATATTATCTATCCTGGAGAATGTCCTGTATATGTCTAAGTTCATTTGTTCTAAAGTATGGTTCCATTCCAGTGGGGTTTTTGTTGATTTTCTGTCTGGATGATCTATCCATTGCTGGTAGTGGGGTATTGAAGTCTATTTCAATATTATTGAAGTAGAAATAAGCAATATAATAATTGTTTATTTGTTAATATTTGCTTACTACATTTCAGTGATCATCTGTTGGAATTGTATATATTTATGATTGTTGTATCTTACTGATATATTGACCCCTTTATCATTATATGACTTTCTTAGTCTCTTGTTACCATTTTTGGCTAAACTCTTATTTTGTCTGATAAGTATGGCTACGCCCACTTTCTTTTGGTTTCCAGTTGTTTGGAATATCATCCCTCTGAGCCTGGGTATGTCTTTAGAGCTGAAATGAGTCTGCTGTACACAGCAAAAAGTTTTGTGTGTTTTTTTAATCTATTCAGCCACTTCATACCTTTTGATTGGTGAGTTCAATCCATTTACTCTTAAGCTGATAACTGATATGTAAGGACTCACTACTGGCATTTTCTTTTGCCTTCTGGTTGTTTCTCCATTATTTCTTTCCCTTCTATTTGTGTCTACCTTTGTAATTTGGAAAATCCATGGTGATTATCTTAG